AACAACACGGCTTCCTTCCCCCAAAATCCCCCCTGAGCACCGAGAGTAGCAGAACCTCTGCCTGATAATCATTACGTTTTCAGTTCACTAACTTTGGAGAAAACAATTCAAACCATACAAGTAGCCCATCAATTTAAAGGCCAGACTCTGTTCTTTCCAACAATATAAGTGTCACAGCTCTACGTGAAAAATTCACAGAACAAGCAGCCACAGAATAGCGAAAAATGCTAAATTCTGGAACCATAAACACAAATGTCTTTCCTTTGTTTTTATGGCTTTAATCACTTTGGAGTGATTTTTTTCCACTTGGCTGGACCTGTACATGTCCTGTGTTAATTTTGGTACATGTAATATGCTAATTATGCATTGTGGAGATCATTAAGAGTCACTGTCAAGTGAAAAAATCTTTCACTAACACTGTGTCGACCGCGAACTGGAAGTGTTGGGAGTGGCATCAAGTGCTGGGCCGGATGTCCGTGGCATATCGGCTATTCCTCCGTTTAAACTGCTAACAAACATGGAGCAAAAACACTGATCATAAGCAACATGATTACATTCAATTTTGCATATTCAGCTAGTTGTCTGTAACTGCTCTGCCACTGAAATGCTGATGGATGTTAAAAGTGAAAGTACTCTCCCCCAGTAATAACTGTGGTTTGATTATGTACATAACTATGCTTTAATTTGTATAATGCCAGGAGGCAATTGGCTGCCTTTGATAGGCTGCACACATTAGCAAAGTCATGGTATTGCCTTATCTCAGGGGTCTGCAACCTTTACAGTAAAAAGAGCAATTTCTACTTCTTGATTCAATAAAATGTGTCCTGAGCCGCAAAACGTGCTACAACTGTGATCATCAACTGGTGGTCAGTGGGCCACTTCGAGTTTGTTGAATGGAGACCTTTCGGGCCAATGGGTGTAAAGCAAAAAAATTGCAAATTTGTTATTTTTGTGCTTCAGGACAAAAGAAAATGTAAAAAAAGAAAATAATGTATGTTTATACCAACTTTAATAAAAACTACAACTGAGCTGTGCAGGTGTTTATTTTTTTCTAATTCTTATTTATCCAATCACCTGCTTCTTCCTTTAAGGTTTACTGGTGTCCATAGGTTTTCAGCAATAGTCGTCCTGAGTGGTTGACAGCAAACAGACTCAGGAGACCGATACAGTAGGTAATTGAGCTTTATTTACAGTGATTGTGGAAAAGGACTTCGGATCTGGAAGAGAAGAAGGCTGGTAAGTAGGCCTATTTGCAGGTAAGTTTCTTGAGGTCAGAATGATTCACAGGTGAGTAGGTTTTCCTACAGACAGGACGACTGAGCAGGTGAGTCTTACCAGGAGACAGACAGGCAGGTGAGCGAGGTTCCACAGGAGGGCTTCTCG